CTCACATTTCTTTTTCTTATATTCTTCTAGAGGTTTGCTACATATTCCTATAGATACAGTTATCCTGATTAAAGAAACACTGCATTAGTTCAGTAAACAGCAATGAAGGAAATATTCTCTAAACTAACAGAAGAGGCTCCTGCTCTCAAAATTTGTTTTACTGCTTCAGTAAACTCCCATTTTAGCTGCCTAGCCAATAAGTTGTACAAATTCAGCAGTTAGTTTTGTTAAAACTTTGGCAGCATACATGTACTGCGTACTCTCATTTTTATTTAAGAATAGATTATAAATCTTTTGACTTAACAGTGATTTAAATTTTAAACACATTTTCTTATCATTTAAACTTTATACATTTTCTTTTAAAATTAACAGTCCATTTTTATCAGCCCATGGCTGTAATCAAATCCTAAAGCCAGGGTTTTTTGTAAGTAAGCTTTTTTTGATATGTTTTGTGTAGAGGCAGCAAGTTTTTAGAACTTTTTTCTCTCCTTTAAAAAAAATATTTTTTTATTCTACATAAATATGTTTACTTAACTTGTAGGGTCTGCAATCATCATTGCATCTCCAGTACAGCCTGTTCTGCAAGGAATGGTAGGGATGATTCCTATATCAGTAGTAGGACAAAATGGAAATACTTTCTCAGCACCGTCCCACCAGGTAAAATGCTCTGAAATATCTGCATCTTTTTGCAGTCAAACAAGGGGGAGGGAAGCAGCTTTCATGCCAACCATAATGTGACACACTATCTTTTTTCAAGGTTCTGCATGTGCCGATCTCAAACCCTGTGTGCAATAGAAGTGTTCCTAAACTACCCATCCCTCCCAAGGCTCAGAAGACTACAGGAGCAAGGAGCAAGTCTAACATAGGTACAGTGTTTTGTGTCTTTGAGACATGAGCTCAACACTAAGGGAGTTAAGTTGATTCTGATTATGTGGAGATTTTAAAGTAGTGGCTTTAGGGCCTGGGCAGCCTGTGTGTGTGACACATGGCAGATTGGGGAGGAGACAGGTCCACAGTGGAATAGGGCAAACAGCAGAGCAGAGTAGGGAATGGGAGTGATGTTAGGGGTGGGTGCAGGGCTCATTTGTGACACGCCTGCCAAAAAGGTTGGCCTCCACTGGCTTAGACCTACCCTGTAAAATTTTACCAGTGCTCTCAAGCCCCTTGCATATACATTCCATCTTTCTCTTTGCACGTGACCAAGGAACTGCCTATTTCCATGGCAGATTTAAACAAGACTGGATTTATTTGATTCTTTCCACTTACCCATTCTTTGCATTTATAAATCAAAGCTGGCTCTAGTTGTTTTAACATGACATAGTTTCATTGAAGTGGCAAGTGTGCCACTTTTTTGTAAGTATTAGAACTGTAAAAGGTATTGTGAAGTGGCTACTATATTAATGAATTGTTCTGCCACCTGAACTGGTTCTTTTAAGAAGTGGGATGTTTCTTTCTTGGACCCATTCTGAGGTGGTTTACTTTAAATGTGAACAGTAATAACTGAGAGCTTCACTCTTCAGGAAAGCCAGCGAGCAGTACAGCAGAACCTCTGAGCCATCCAAGTTCTCGAATACAAAGGTTAGTATAACCACTTGCCTTGCCACGTGCCGATGGTGATTTCCTATTAGAACATGGTGGGGAGAACTGCCTCATTAACAGCAGTGAATTAACTCTTCAGGGGTCTTTTCCTTCTTTTTGGTTTCTAGCAGGTCTTGAAGGGTTTTTCTTTGAATTGGAGCTTTTGCATATGCACACAGCGGGGCATGCCCGTAGGAGTGACAGTGCTAGGCTAGAGTTCTCTGCTTGTTTTATGCTATTGAGCATTGCCTGGCTTACATGCACCTAGCTGACGTAGCTCTGCCAACAGAACTTTGTAGTGTAGAGGGCTTTGTGCTCTCACCTGAATGAACTGAATCCACATGTTGGTTTCATTTTGTGGTTAGAGCAAATATATAAGCTCTACTTACAAAATAGAGAAATAGGTTTAAAAGAACTTACAGTTCCTCAAAATTAACTTTGCACAATAGTAATCATGTTCTGTTCCTGATTATTTTCATTTTAGGACTGGTAATTCAGATAGAAATGTCAGTGCAGACCAGGGAAGGAAACTTGAGGAGACTTCTCTTACAGCAGTGGGAGAGACCACAAATTCAAATTCCAAGCAGAACGAAAGCCACCGGAGAGTACTTTGCTTTGACAGCGCTTTGCCAGCTCCAGGAGGAAATGCCCAGGTTCAAGCTATGAGTTCATTGCAAAAGGAAAAGAGTGAGAACAGTTTGTTTGCTGTAGATTCTCCTAGTGCTACATCTGCATCTCTTAAAATACAGCCTAGCAAAAGAGAGAAGGAGAAAACATTGCCTAGAATTTTATGTAAGCCTGAAATCGGTAGCAATAGAGGTGCAGTTGTGAAAGAAGCACAGCCTGAGAGGAAGTCTTTGGCCTCGGGAGTTGGGTTAGAGTCATTCCACAAGACAACGGCAAACAAAGAGAATGAATTAAGGAGAGACACTGATGATAAGCAGAACAATCAGGAAGCTGCAAAACTGTCCAATGGCCAACAGAACACTGGCCTTCGGAATGAGAAAACAGCTGCCTCAGTACAAGATGTGAACAAAAAAACAGGCACACTGTCTAATGGCAGTAGCAAAAGTTCAGGAACTGTTTCCCTGTCTTCAAAGGAGCCAAAGCAGGACCAAGCTAAATCTTCCAGCCAAGGCCTTTGCCTGGCAAGCCCATTAACAAAGCAAGCTGTGGAAATGTTACATGACATTCAGTGGAATAGCCCCGCTAGCAAAGTGGTTGAAAATGGGGATTTACCAGTACCCCGTACACCATCAGGAGTTGGGGATAGGCATACAGATGATACCACAGACAGCATAAGAACACCAACATGTAGACGTTACAATGAAGATAGCACAACTCCTAGAATAATGGTTCCTCCAGCTACTCCGGACTTGCCAGCCTGCAGCCCAACTAGTGAAACAGGTAGTGAAAATAGTGTCAGTATGGCTGCCCATACGTTGATGATTCTGTCACGGGCTGCTATTGCAAGGACTAGTACTACAACTCCTCTAAAGGACAATACCCAGCAATTCAGGTCTTTAAGAAGCACAGGAAAGAAAAGGAAGCTGGAGGACCTGAGTGAGGGGGAGAGACTTTCTCGTTCTGCCAGCAGAAAAGATCTCCAGAGCTCTACAACACCAATGAAAAAGAAGAAGATAAAGGCAAGTGCAGATACTTACTTTTTTATCTGAGTATTGTCAGTATTTTCCAGTCCAGTATAGATCTAGGATTGGTTGGTTGAGAGCTGCAAGCCCAAAACTCAAACATCCCTTAATGCAAATTTCTTAGTACCAGTGACATCCTTTTGAACCCATCTGCTTCTCATCATGACTAATTCTTAAGAGTCAGGTGCTGTCCTCACCTGTGCAGGAGCACTCACCCTTCACTTTACTGGAGCTGTGGTGCTGCAAGGTCACATTTGTCTCTTATGCTAGGAACAAACGTTGCACATAAACCAGTTTAAGTGATCAGAAACTAGTTTAAAGCTGTAACAACAGATATTCAGTGCACGTAAACCAATTTGAAAATGGCTGAAACCAGCTTGAGATGAACCTGATTGAATGTAGTATCAGATTTAACTGATTTGGGTCAAACTGGCTTATGCAGTGTCAGTCCCAGACTCCTTGCTGGCTTAAGATGAACCAGACTCCCACAGCATCCTGACATGCTCTGTGGGCTGGGCGGGGTGCTTTGCTTCACAGCAGGGCTGGCCCCTCCCCTCTGCTCCCCGGCTGTAGCTCTGGCAGAGACTGAGCTGCTTCCCTCCTACCCCCCCACTCCCATCTGCCTTGCTGAGAAGGTGTTTATGTATTAGCTAGCAGACCACATGCTAGCTACCGTCCATGCTGAATCAACAGGTAATATCTGTGATGAACATGGAGTTACGGGTGAACACTGTTACCAGTTCTCTGCTGGGGTAATAAGAGCGTCTGTGGAGCCTGGCCATGTCCCCCTCAGCTTGGTGCTGTGGAAAGGGAAGGGAGGGCTGCTCTAGCATCCCTCTGGTTTCTAGCCTGAGCCGCTGCAGGCATGTGCCTGCATGTCTGTGATGCCTGTGCAGTTACAAATCAGTTCAGCTTAGCAGCCAGGTTAAACTAACCTGCAGAGATTGAATCAATTTAGGCTCAGGCTTTGTGAATGTCTGTCCCTAGCCTTAGAAACTTACTCATTGCAAAAAAACGAACCATTTGCATTTTAAACCAGCACTGGGCAGGCCTGGGGTTCAGCCTTTTCCCGTGTCCACAGGGCACTGCACCTAAAATCGCATATAATTTGAAATGTTACCTTGGATGTTAGATACAGTGGTGAACTGCAAAGATGTTTACTTGAGATTAAAAAGTAGCCTATAGATATAAAGCACATCTGTTTTTTGTAATTTGTAATATTAAGCCATATAACATGTTTTACCCAGAGGCGGCCCATTGTGATGAGCATAATCCATGTGTTATGAATGTAGGAACTTAGATCATACTAACAAAGGGATGTATCTGAAAGCAATGAGGCAGTACATCTATTTCTGTCTCCTAGTTCTTGAATTATGCTGCATGTCTGCTACTGGGAACATACAATGAAAATACTTCCATACAGTAATTCAGTGCAAGCATGGCTTGTTTTCTGAATAAGCCTCATGTCTATTTCCATGGTAATGCAGATGGGAAACCATAAAGCAAGATCCATGATGTTTGCAAGCCTCTTCTTCACCTTCATATTCTTTGGCTTCCGTTTTTAATGTGAGCCATTTTTTTCGTCCTGACAGAAAAAGAAGCTTCCAAATTCTTTTCCAGCTGGAATGGATGTGGACAAGTTCTTGTTATCTCTGCATTATGATGAATAAAGCTGAACTGTGACTGTATAAAACTGGGTGCTACCATGCAAAGGTTTTGTGTGGGAAGAGAAGCAAATTCTAAATGGTGAGCTGCACTTTCAGTGCACTGAAGTTTCACTTTATAGCAAAATCATGCTGTTTCTGAAACAGATTGCTAATTTGTAAATAGAAGTGGGCTGGTATTATTTTTGAGAAAGCACTTGCAGAAGCATAGAGCCATTGAATTTTAAGAACTGTACAGGTAAAACTTGTTTGTGAAATGTAAATATTGTATAAATGTACTGTAAAAAGAGTTGTAAACAACCAGATGTTCTTAGTTTCCCAGAACACCAGATGTGGTCTGTTCTACAGAATTCTCTACATACCTGGCTAAACTGCTTAGTCACTTGGTGGTGGGGCGGAATCAGGAATCAGTAGGGTGATGATTCTGGAGCTTACAATTTTTTGAAGACTTGAATTGCTGAATTTAAACAAGACAATTGGGAGGGGAGCTAGGACATTCCAGATCTAGATAATCTCTCACCACTTGGTAAATTTGTATGCCTTTCTGCAGACCCCTCCAAACAATAAGGCTTTTTGAAAACTGCATTGCTGTTTAGAAAGCTATTGCCAGATGAAAAAGAGGCAAAAACAGACACTTTTTTGCAGCTTGTACTACGAGCCATGAAAGTCATCTTGATTTATCTCACAGAAAAATAAAATTTCCAAATTTTGAACAGGCAATATAGATTTAGCCACTATCCAGGGTAAAATATTTATTTTCAAATGCAGGACTCACCCCCTAAGATGATTCTTGAGAGGGCAAAAATATTTAAAATAATAATATAGCCAGGCGGAATATAAATACTTTCTAATGGGGAAGTTATTTTTCAACTTATACTTTACATTGCATTCTTCACATATATTTTCAGCCACACATGCAAATACCATAGTATCTGCTTTTGGGGTTTTTTTACATTTAATCAGAATAAATATAGATCCTGCTGGTAAACTACTCTTGGGTTACTTACCATATGGAGTAGTCTGGGTTGGGCACTGGGGGGGGGGAGATCCTCCATTCATTGATCCTGAACTTTGGCACCAGTTGGTGTGAATGCAGTTTAACAAACTAAGTCTTGTGATCCCTGCTCTGATGGTGTACACCAGGGATGCTCAACTGCCAGCCTGTGGGCCAAATATGGCCTGCAGAGCCATGTGATCCAGCCCACAGGAATCCCTGTGGCTCAGGAAACTTTGGTGGCTGGGGGAATACTGGTATCTCCGTGCAGCTGGATCCAGCCCCATGGGCCAGTGCTGCATTGGCAGGATCAGCTGGGCCCACCCTCACTCATCTGGATCAGGCTGGGCTGCTCCTTATCTCCTCCTCCCTACCCCCCCTTCTGCACCCAGCTTGAGCCCAGGCTGGGCCATGCCACTCCACTCCGAGCCACCCTCTTCCCCCTGCCTCCCTCCTTCATCCCATGATCAGAGCAGGTGGCTTTCCTCCCCTCTACCCCCACCTGCAAGTTTGAATTGGGGCTGGATTGTTTTCTGCCCCCTCCCTTCCCTTGTTTGAGGCCAGGGTGCTTCCCCCACTTCCAGATCAGGGCCTGGCAACTCCTGGCCCCACTGGGCAGCTGGATTACTGATGGGCTGGGCATCTCACCCTGGTGGCCAGATCAGGTCCCTGCCACACTGGCCCTGGGTGCCAGATCAAGCTTACCAGCTGGGTCCAGCCCACAGACAGACCTGGTCCCTCTGCCCATCTAGCCCAAGGGGCAAAAAAGTTGGGCACAGCTTTGGGCATTGTAGACCCCAGTAGTTCTGCTTTTCTTCACAGGCACTGTGGCATGTTTTTTCATCTGTTCTCACACTGTTGAAGTCTTAAACAATGTATTAGTTGGCTTTTTCTTGTTGTAACAGATCTGTACAGGGACAGGGCAATGTTTCAAATAGCATACAAGGATTCCTAAGGAACAAAATATTATGCAGTAGCTGTTTATATTAAACCCATTCAATAAATTAATACTGCATAGCATTTAAGGCTTGAATAAATATTGTTTAAATCCAATTTTGTGTATCAAATGTAGTGTTTTGTTAGAGGGCTGCTCTACTCATTTTACCCACTTCCTGTAGAAATGCATTTATCAGTCGCATGTTGTATGAATGGTGTGAAACATGAATGTTGAGGTCTGTTTTTAATAACTACCACTGACTATTAGAGCATGAAATGTAAGTGGCATGGCTGATGTTTTAATGTGCAGTCTTTTTTTGGAAAACACTATTTCTTCCATACTCAGACACCTTTCTATTACTGATTAACACCTCCTTCCTTATGTTGCACAAAAACTCTGTGGTCTTTTTTCCTGGAAAATATAGTGGATAATGCTGTGTTGGAGAAACAGAGACAAGCTTATGATTAAGTTAAGGAAAAATCTCTACTGTTATGCTCATTTTTCCCCTGCTTCATGTTCAAGTCTTGAACCAGTTTAATAAACCAAGTCTTGTGATCCCTGCTTGATAGTGTAGACCAGGGATACTCAACTCCTGGCTCAAGCTTTAATAATTAAGCTTGTAAGCAACATTGTTTTAAGATTGGTGTACAGGGTTTTTCAGAAATATGCTATAAAAACTATGAGTAGGTAACAGCTGTCCATGTTTTAAGCCAAAAAAATAACATTTGTAACTACTTGTGAAGCTAGTTTAAGCTACCGTTATCTACCACAGCCTCTGCTTGTATATTCTGGTTTTGTTATTATGGGTAATAGCTATTTTTAGGGGGGGAAATGCAAGTAAATATTTTTTCATTTGCTTTTATTCCTTTGGGAGGAACAGAAATAAGCCCCCCTACAGTATATTGTGAAGGTCAGAATCCTCAAAGCAGATCTACAGGAAGTGGTAGACATCAGGAATTAAGTGTTGCTGTATAATCGTCTGTGAGTGCAGTGCAGTTGGCCATGAGTACCACTAGTTCCCTAAAAAGTTCCTAGGTAAATTGATCAAATCTCAGAAGGAAAGGATCATTTATCCCAGGAGTGTCAAAGATGTGGACTGGATCTGGCCCTTGGTGCTACCTGTGGAGCCCAGGCTAGTCTGCACATGACATGGAGCCTGAGCGTGATACCTCTGCTCTCCCCTGGTAACTGTCTGCATGGTTTGTTTTTCAGTAAGCTGAAATATTACCACAGATTGGGTACTTCAGCAACAGCTTTTCTTACAGAGCTACATCTTCTAGAAGTCCAAGGCCTTAAAAACTTGTGTAATATGCATACAAACCCTTGAAAACTTAAACTGGATGCTAAGGCCTGTTTCATTAGTATGACTAGCACAAATATGTGCTTTTAGCAATTCTTTCTTTTAAAAAAAATCTTTGAGTTTGCAGCACAGTGGAGTGGGACACTAAATGATGTCTTGCCGCCAGAATCAGGCTGCACAGATTCAGTGGTTCTCCTGCCTATACAGCAGTGATTCAGATGGTACACAGTTCAGTTCTGGCTGACAAACTTGTCTTCCCCCTGATGTTGGTTACTATTAATAACAATAAGGTAACCAATGCTAAACAAGCACTGCAGAAATTCTCAATGAGAGCTGATATTCCAGCTACTTCCTAGAGAAATGTATACAGCTGGGGCCAAGATAGACTCCCATACTGTTTGAAAATAATTCTGCAATACTAAAACATTTAGAAAGTAACCACCATGATTTTCATGAAAAAGCTTCAAGCAGCTTTTACTGACTTCAAAATTAAACTGTGTTAAAGAGGTGCAAGTAACTTGATACCAGCAATATATATAACCAAGGAAAACGATCAGTAAATCACTTGCATGGAAGTCCTGAATCAGAGTAAGGATACAACCTTTATTGGCTTGTGACCGTTTTTAATTTTTTTCCATAATTAGACACATTTTCATTCAGACTGAAGTAATAAAAAACAGATGTCAATATTTCTGACTTGCTTTGAAGAAATACTTAAGCTGCAGCTACCATAGTTTTATGTAGTCTGCAAATTCTTAAATAAAATGTAACAGCCACCATTTAAGATACTTGATTATTATTAAGTTTAAGGCTTAACATTTCAGACAGCCATCTACAGCTTTTGGATCAGTATAGCAGAAGCTCCACCTCCTCCATTACAAATGCCTGCAAGACCATGCTGTCCTTGCTTCAGTGCATGGACCATGTGCACCACAATTCTTGCACCAGACATTCTAGAATAGAACAAAACACCGTTTAGCTTGTAGGAAGTCAGGATTCTGGGAGCTGCTATGACAGGAACAGAGCAGTGCAAGTGCACCACTGCACCCTTCTGTTAACCTAGAGATATCAAGCAAGGCCCACAGGTCTTGGACTGACCTTGCATGCAGTAGACTACACACAGTGGACCAGATGCAGATGCTGCTCATGGTACATGGGGTTGGTCTGGGGCATGAGCTGTACACAACACCTGTGTCAGACCAGTCCTGTGCACTGGGTCTAGGGCTGGTCCAGATCAGGCTGTCTGGAGGCCCCCTGTGCTGCAAACAGCACCCTCAACAGAGACGACCCCATGAACTATGTGCTGGCCCCATTGCAACTTGTGCTACCTGCGGTGCATGGAATGGACTTGGCACCTATAAATAAGCACTGGCAATAGCAGGAGGGACTGGCACGAGGCACACAGTGCATGCACCATCCCAGGCAGCCCTGTGTGTTGGCTCCAGTGCGCACACATGGCTTGGGACCAGATTCTGACCAGCCCTGAGCCAGCACTTGGGACCAGTCTGGTGGAGTGCTGCCTGCAGCGTGCACACCCCATCTCCACTCCCTGAGCCACAGGTGGTGTTTGTGGCCCCTATTTCAGCAGGGCCAGAAACAACACATTGCTTTACATACCCTATTGGATGTCCAAGAGACACAGCCCCTCCGTGTATGTTCACCTTCTGTGGATCAATACCGAGCATTTTGATATTAGCCAAGACCACGACGCTGAATGCTTCGTTGATTTCCCACATCTCAATGTCTTCCTTTTTCAGACCTGCCTCACTGAGAACCTAGAAAAAATTCCTGTATATATACCCACTTTCAACTTCCTTTTGGAAAGTTACCAACCGTACTGGTCAAGGTAACTTAGCCACAGATGTGAACTAATCTTATACCCAAGTACAACTATGCATTTCCCTAAAAGGAATTAAGGCCTTGCCTACGCCAGAAAGTTTTAGCTATCAGTGATAGGTGAGCATTTTCATTCTGATTTATCCAAGCCCCTCCCCAAGCAAAATCTAACCTGAAAAAGCACTCCTATTAGAATACAAGTGTCCACCTGGGAGTACACTTCTTTTATATACATACATGCCCTAGGTAATATAAAAGAGGTCTTTCCTGTATAGATAACACCTCAGTTTATTAAACAAGTTCTTGTTTGACAGGCTTAGAATAATTATGAACCAACTGAGATTTTACCTCAGATTTCTTCAGTGCTGAGTACAAACATGCCTTGTATGGTGTAACAGACATTTTTTCTACATTTTTCCAGTTTATTTGGGGTATGTAACTTCAGGGTCTCCACTGGATAGGAGGGGAAAGTACAGTACTCAGAACTACTTTTACTGTCTTTAAAAGTGAGCAGATTTCAAAGGTGCCTGTGTTCCCTGAGGAACAAACCCAGAAAGCTGAATGTGTATTTTGCATGGGAATAATTCCTGGTTACAGCAATCACAATATAAACAATCTTTTCCACTTTTGCAGTACCATCCACACCAGATATCTACAATAAGCATACATATGAGAAAAGCATTAGCTGTACTAGGAAAATCCCTGGTGGGTCACTGGCACATCCCGTAGTTAGACAAGCTTGCAGTTTCCTGTTCAGCGATGATCAATTTGGTTCCTACCTTAGGAACAGCATATGCAGGTGCAATTGGGAAGTCAATCGGAGCCACAGCAGCATCTGCAAAAGCTGTAAGATCATAAACACCTACTGAAAACCACTATTGTTCTTCCCAAAAGCAATGGTCATGGTTCACATTCCCAGTACATTTTAACTTACTGAAGAAAAGAGAAATTTTGACTCTTACAATGACTCTTGAGAACAGATGCATCCACAGTTCATAGCCTTGCACAAACAGGGTGAAACTTTTCAGATTTTACCTCAAAAACACCAAACTTGGTCCCAAACTTGAATTCCTGATCATAACCAGACCTTCCTACAAGTGTGTTAGTCTCCTTGAATTCAAAAACATAACTTGGGCTCTACAGTAGCTGCACCATCCCATCCAATGAACTACCTTCATGACTCCCCCCCCACCCAACGAAAACAAGATTTGTAGTCTCATGGCAAAATTAGAGGGGTACTGCACTTGAGATGCATGATTCAGAAAAATCCCTACCTACTATTCGTGCCAGCGGTGTGACATTAAGTCTCCTGGCTGCATCTGTAGTCATCATAACCAAAGCAGCTGCTCCATCATTCAACGTGCTGGCATTGGCAGCTGTGACCGTCCCTGTAAACAAAGAATTGCACCAAGAACAGTAGGCAAACGAGGAAGAGTACAACAGCTCAGCTATCTTTTGCCAATGCAATTGTCTGCAGAGGTCTTCTTGCATTAGTTTCAAATAGATTTGGAAGCACCCTTTTATAGTTAAACTGATACACTTTGCTGTGCAGTGAAAGATCATGAACAGAAGGATCACTGCTAAAAGCAGTGGTATTCCTTAATGTGCAACAACACTTTTGAGAGGCAAAAAGAGATTCAGCTACTACTAGTCACACCCCTGATATGGGTCCCTCTCTACAGGAAACTCATCATTTTTCCTCTAAGGTTAGCCTTTCATGAATAAGGAAACTCCATGTCCAATTCCAGGTCATCCCTGCAGTTCAAAATCACCCGAACTAACAGCAGCATCAAGGAGAAAAAAAATGACAGCCCATCCCAGAGCCATAAGCAGTAGGCCTGTGCAAATAGGGAACTATTTGATTTGGATTCAGATTCGGCCGATTCGGATGCCACAAATTTGATTCAGAGACCCAAATCATTTTTCTGATTCAATTCGGCCGAATCGCTTCGGAAGAATTAGAGCCGATTCAGAGATTCA